AGTCCCCTTCTAGCCCGTTGCTCTCAGTATCTCCCTTTAGGTCTGTAATACTTTGTTTTGGTGTTCCTATGTTGGATGCATGTGTATTAATAGTGATATATCTTCTTGTATTGTTGCATTTATCATTATATAATATCCATCTTTGTCTCTTGTTTCCCATTTTTGCTGAAAGTTTATTGTGCCTGATATAAGTATAATTGCTTTCATTGTGTCTCTGGCACCTTGGCATGCATACATAACCTACATGCCATAACCTAATCAGTCTCATCCTGGACCTTGATTTGGGAGCCATGGTATGAGTCAGGGACTGTGGAGGGTAGTAGCTGGGTAGCAGCACTCAGATACTGGGAAATTTTGAGAGAAATATAATACACATTTATTGAATGCATTTTGGCTTTCAAAAGTCTAAAGTCTTTACCTTAGTTTGCAGTTCCTAGTTCCTAGCTATGACTAATCCTCCATGGGACATTACTGAACAAACTTAAAATAATGATCCATTTAACACCAGTTACATTAAGGCAGTAAGATTAGGGTTGGATTTCAAAGGCATTTTTGAGTATGTGACATTTCCTTTTGTTTTCTTTTCATGACACTAAAAATAGGAAGTCTTTCAGAATTAGAAAAATGTGCTTGTGGGCCTCCCCGGTGGCACAGCGGTTGAGCGCTGGGTTGCGAAGCTGCCCGCAGCCTCTGCAGCGCCAGTTTGATCCCCGGCTGCAACCCAGCCACCGGAGGAGGGTCCCACATGGCACGCAGACCTCTCCTGCTGCCTGCTGCCCACTGCTCCCCTCAGCAGTGTGCTTCGGTCCTTCTGCCTGCTCTGCTCCCTGCTCTGGCTCTGGTGAATTCTCTCACCCTCCCGCGCTTCTGACTGTACCCAGTGCTTGTATAAAATAAAACAAATCTTTGGGAAAAAAAAAAGAAAAAAGAAAAATGTGCTTGTACTTTTTCATTGGAAATGCAATTAGTTGTCATTTCAAATGGTATTTCTACCAAGAGACTCAGCCTTCAGTTCATCATTATGTGCTTTATTATTTCCTAACAGCAGAAATAAAAAAACTGATACTTTATTATTTTTAGACCTTATTAACCAAAAAAATGACTCTAAAATCTGCATATATTTCTCAGGAATATTTTTCTAACACATCCATATTCTGAGTTAATGTAGAGATAAATAGCTTTCTAAGTCAGTGGTTTGTTACTGATATACCAACCCCTAAATATCATGTGAAGTGGAATTGGACTCCAGTAGTTTTAGTTAAAACACACATGCATAGTTCATTTTTGATGGGGGGCATTTTGCATAAATGATCATTATCACCTTAAATGATGGGGTTCAGAAGTGTGACTCCTACTTTGTCTTTTCTCCTGTCATCACAAAATCTTATTGGAATGCAAAAGTGACATTTAAAATGAGCAACGTTTTCTTTTTGCAGAAATCTTAGAAACTGATTTCTCTCAAAACATGTAGCTTTCACTATTCATCATTATGAAACTTATTTCAAGGAATTGCAGTATGTGGTTATTATCCATTTTACTATTTCACCTTCTATAAATGAGCCTACATAAATAATGTACCATTTAAATTCCACAATGGAATTGTATAACAAATTAGTAGTATCATAAATGAAAGTACATTGTTTAATTTGAGTACCATGTAAATATTTTAATTTAACAAAATCAAGGGATTATTTCCCAAAAATAAATATCTCAGAAGATTTCTAAGAGATTATTAATATTTTTAAATATAAGATTTTAAAATCTAAAATTATAAGCTTCATTATAACTAAATGGTCCTGTTCATACTGTCAGTTATAGCTCTTTTTCTGTCTTGAAATACAAATTTTATGGAGCATAGTGATACAGTTCAATCTGATTAGCAATTATAGTAAGGACAGAAATTCTAGGTGAATGTGTTTTGCAAATAATTCAAAGATCTAATTTTAATGTGACTTTTAAATTCCAGTTTCATTAAACCATTTATCCAATTCATTGATTGATCATTTTCAATTCACGATGGTCATTTTTTTTTCAAAGAATCATTTATGTAGAACTGTGGTGTAGGCCAGCGAGAATCACCAGAGACAGAGCAGTGAACAGAACAGTGAACAGAAGCAGATACACTGCTAAGGGGAGCAATAGGCAAGACAGGAAAGGTCTGCTGTCCCATATGTGGAGATCAAACTCAAGTTGTAGTAGTGATAGTACTGAGACTTAACCCATAGGCCACCAGGGAGGCCTCATGGTGGTCATTCACATGGTGGTTGTGATAACTGATCTCACTTTTCTCATTTCACAGTGTGTTTGTATCTGTCTGAATCCAATCAGATTAGAGAAAGCACACAGTATTTTGAAGAGGGAAAGTCTATTTCTTAATTATTAGCTATATTGAATTGGAGTAATGAGGAGTTGGTTAGAAGTACAGTGGGTTTTACAAAATACAGGAATATCAGGTGTCATAATATATAGCCTTTTGGACATTAGAAATGCCAAGGACTGAAATGGAGTGACCAAGGAAGAATCTTCAATCTCCCAATGCCCACTGAGAGCCAGATCTTTTTTTATGCTCTTTTTTTTTTTCCCTTAAAGATATATTTATTTATTTGTACAAGCACTGGGTATAGTCAGAAGCACGGGAGGGCGAGAGAATTCACCAGAGTCAGAGCGGAGAGCAGAGCAGGCAGACTGACGAAGTATACTGCTGAGGGGAGCAGCGGGCATCAGGAGAGGTCTGTGCACCATGTGGGACCCTCACCCGGTGGCCAGGGATCGAACCGGCGCAGCAGAGGCTGTGAGGCGTTTTGCAACCCAGCGTTCAACCGCTGTGCCACCGGGAAGGCCCGAGAGCCAGATCTTATAGGTAACACAGTCATGGTCCACCATATTGCAGAGAATTCACTGCAACATCACACTGGAAGGATTTTCTGGATGCTCACAAGTACTTGATTTGAGGCACAAAAGTGCCTACAGGGCACTGCTGGCCATTAGGTTCTAAATGACCTGAGTGAACAGAAGCTGATGTAGACAAACTATTCACACAGAAGGGGTTGAAGTCTGAGGAATATGCAAGCAGAGTAGGTGCTGAACTCTGCAGCTAATTTGTGCTGCAGACGTCAGACACGAGGAAGGCTGCACATGCTTAAGTGTCTCTGAGCAAACAAACCAGAAACAGAAAGCAAAAACCCTTTTGGCATTCATTGTGTCTCTTGCATCAGCTACTAAACAGGATTAAAATTGTGCTTGATGGTAAAATGAAAATATTTACAGGGCCCAGATCCATTTTCATAGAGGAAAAAATGTTGAATTTGGAGCTGAGAGGCAATAAAATGAGTCCAACAGTGTACTGAAAGTAGGATACAGTTTAAATTTTTTATTACTAAGGTCTTAACTTGAAGGATCAGATAGTGTAGATCAATAGTTGACAGTGAGCAGATGTGTCTGCCAGTGTGCTTGTTGTTTAATTCCAGTGCTAACATAAAAAGAATAAAAAGTGGTGTTTGATCTTACTGTAATTTTCCACAAAAGAAAGGTGAAAGAATTAAAGTAAATTTGCCATTTCAGTGGCATTAAGTATCAGTAAATGGTTGTTGGGGGCATGCTATATTTAAACTTTCATATGAATGTGAGTAATCATTTAAAATAAGTCATTTTATATATAGCCACTAATAAGAACAAAATTTCACAATCCAGGAGAGACTCAGTAGTACATATTTTTTTTTTATAAATTTTAATTGGTTAATTTAGATTAATTGCCTAATAAACCTGATTCTTGGTTAAGTTCTCCAAAATATCCATCACGTCTCAAAATAAAGAAGAGGGCAAAACATGTTGTTAGGTCATAAACAATATTAGAAGTTAATCACTTCCACCACAAGTCATTTGTGCATCAGTGCTTAAAGAGAGAACTTCAGCATTAAGTTATTATCAATTCATCAACATTTATTGTTCTTCATTGGTTCTAAGGGAGGGAGTGTGTGTGTGTGTGTGTGTGTGTGTGTGTGTGTGTGTGTAACTTTGTTAAGCTTTTTTAATTAAATATAGATTTAATTAGATCTAAGTTAATTGCATTTAAAAAGCAATGCAGTTAAAGGACTTTTGTGATTACTGCAAAATGATAGAAATTCTGAAACTAAAAAAAATCTATACTTGAATTACTTCAGATCATTCAAATAAATTTAAGGAAAACTTTGTGGGGTTATTTCAATTACATTTTTACTTTTTAATTTTAACATGGATAGGCCATTATAAAACTAATCAGGTTAAAAATAAACCAGAAGGAGAAAGACAGATACCAGATGGTTTTACTCGTACTGGAATATATAGAAACAAAAGAAAAAGTCAGGAAACAATACAGTAAGCACAAAACACCAACCCTAGAAATCTGACTGTAAAATTGAGGCTACTAGAGAGTGAAGGAGAGGATGGTGGGAATTGTTGAGGGGGTTCAATGAACTATAGTGAGGACTATGGTGCCTTGGTGGTAGGTGTGGTGTGTAACATACCTGGAGAGGTGAGATCCTATTTTCTAGATTATAGTGTTCTAAACCAGTGTTACCTTAGTAAATTTTTTTAATGTGCTATTATAACATTGCAAGAAAAACAGTATTTACAGAGCTAGGTAGTTTTTTGTTATGGAAAGAAAATACAAGAATGAAATAATTCAAAATACAATTACCATTAGAGGTAAATACATTTTCTTTTAGGGTAAATATTTCTGTTAGTAGAGTGGAAAGAATATGTAACCTTGGACATATGTAAGTTACCAACCAGGAAAATAACTATATCTACAAATTATTTCTGAAATAGTGTGGAAAAAACATTGGCTTAAGTTGATTTTGTTTTTTTGCATTGTTGTGTGTTAAGAGCACAAAAATGATATCTCCCATTTTAGAATCTTTTTAGACATGTGGAATGTGTCTGTAGTGTTCTGTGACTTTTAAGTAGTCTTTTCATAGATTATATCTAATTTTTTAATGTAAGTTGTTATGTTTTGTTTTTAGCTTCCCCGTGGGTTGATAACAGCAGAACTCCAAATAAGATTGACCTTTATGATGTACGCAGAAGACCATGGTAAGTATTTTCTGTTGTTTTGAAAAGATTAAATAGACACAATTAGATTAAATGTTTTGCTAAAAATTTGGTGAGCATCTTTGCATTTTAAGGATGACTGCTATCTAAAAGAGCTCTGGTGGGGTTTTTTATGTAAATAAATAAATACAATTTAAGGTAAATGAAGAGGATGAGTTCAAGTGGGCAACAATAATGGATATTGTTTAAATAATGAATGAAATGCATTTCAAATAGATTATTTCAAGTTTTCTATTCAATTTCATCTGCAAGCCTCTTTAGCTGCTGGGGATTTGTACTGAAAGACTCCTAGTTTGCCTGGAGTAGACTAGCAGAATATGTTGGTTGAGTAGCAAATGATTTGCCTCTGGTAGTGAACTAATGAGAACAGGCCCCAAGGTAAGAGCTGCCTCGTAGTTACAGTCATATAGGTTATGTTTTATTTTTGCAAAAAGAAGTTTTATTTATTTCTCAAAGCAAGTTATTTTCTTAAGATAAAACTTGAAAAATACTGATAACTCATAATTACAGTCACTGCCAAACAACTGTTAAACTTGCATATTTTATTTGAGTTTTTAAAAATGTATTTAATGTGTTGGCGTATCTTTTTAAAATAAGTTCATATTATATACCGTGTACTGCTTTGTAACCTCTGTTCATGCCTATGCTTCTGAGTGCCTGTTCGCACTGTTGTCCCACACATTACCTTATTTTTTCCTTCAAAAAGGTGATATGATAATTTAGGAAATTCCCTGTTACTGAACCTTAAGATTGTTTCTTTTTTTGCTAGAGTTCAGACTAACTGTAATATAGATAATGACTCATTCAGTGGAAATGCATTTAAAGTTTTCAGATACCTCGTTAAAGTCCCAGTTTCCATTTACATGAGCAGTCACTGTATACAACAATCCACGTTGTTGGTCCACATGCTATTCTTGTTAACATTTCTCCAAGTGTGGTGACTGTGCCGCCTTGGCTTATTGAATCAAGGCAGAGACTGTGACATCACATAGTTGGGTTCAGGAACTAATCATTTAGGGAGAAGCTTAGAAGCAAGATGCCCAGAAGAGGCAAACTATCTTGTCCCCTCCTTTTCCCATGAGAGACATGCCAGGACCTCTGTTAAGATGCTAGATATGAATTTGAATCATCACCCATTGAAATATCCAGGCAACTCTGCCTCTTTACCTTTTTAGAGAAATAAACTTGGGTTCAAGTTAAAAAGTCAGTTTCAGGAGTAGATAATAATTGTGCTGAAAACTAATGTTTTCTGAAACATGTTGTCTGACACCTGAAAACTAATAGGTAATGAAGTGACCTAGCAGATTTCTGGGAAGTGAGATTAAGAGTCTTTGGCAAGGAGGACTCAGATGACTGACTAGAAGGTTGAGTTCAGATGCAAATGCCCCTGGCTCCTGTCTGTGGTCAGGCATCTTGTTTGTTTGTTTTTAAAGATTTACTTATTTACTCATACAAGAACTGGGGTACGGGCCAGAGATGCGGTGGGGGTGATGAGAGGATTCACCAGAGACAGAGTGGGGAACAGAACAGGCAGACTGACTGAAATACACTGCTGAGAGGAGCAGTGGGCGAGACAGGAGAAGTCGGCTGTGCCATGTGGGTAGCTCCCTGGCTGGCTGGGGATTGAACTCATGCTGCAGGGGCTGTGGATAACTTCATAATGCTGTGCTTAACCCTTTGTGCCACCAGGGAGACCCTGTGGTCAGGCATCTTGAACTTTTGTGATTTTTCACTTGCAGTCAACTTTGTAATTGCTGAACTATCAAAATAAAACTCTTAGAATTGCTTTAAAATGAGGATTCTGAAACCTAAAGTTGAATTTGAGAATCAGCATTTTGAATCGAATCTCCAGGTGATTCTAGATATTGTAAGGTTTGAGAAACAGCTTCCACTTAAAAAAACAGTAAAACTTAATATTATATTCTGTTTTTAATTACTGATTTGTATTTCCTTTCCATCGCTTTTGCAGATTCCTACCCACTTACTATTTTTGTGTTTACTTTTTGCATTTAAAAGTGTGACCAGTTCTACTATTATTGAGAGAATGAGTTTTACAACCTCTGGTCAACAAATTGGAGTTACAGATAACTTTTTCCAGGAGAAATATACTTCCACAGATATTTCATTGCTCCTAATGTTAAAAACCTCATTTCTTATTCTTTTGTTTTTTTTTTTTAATAACTATCTCAAAACAAACTTTAAGTATTATATAACTGATGTCTCTGCTCTTAAGTTAAATGTCTTTCTAAAATTGATGTTGCAGAATTATGATTGAGAGAGCTCAATGGGATACTGAGATTGTATGGGATAGTTCTGCTTAGAAAATACCTAACTCAGAGATCAGTATATATTAGTTCAACAAATACATATGTTTGATCTTCTGCAGGAGAACAGTATTGATACGATCTTTGTTTCAGGTACATCCAAGGAGCTGCATCTCCTAAGGACATGCTTATTCTGGTTGATGTGTAAGTAATTAAATCTTATTTACATACTGAGAATATTAGAGGACTTACACATATTAGCAATATGTTGGGATTGATAAAGGTTAATAGGTGGGAAAAAAAAAAACAAAAACTGAATAGTTATGATGCCTTTCATATCAAAAAAGTTATAACAGTACTGAAAACGCTATTACTGAAAATAAGAAGCTTCTATATCATAGTTAAAAATTATGGCATGGTTCTATAGTCTTAAGCATTTTGAAAAATTACTTATTTGCTTTCAACCTTTTACTTTGTAGGTTAAACACTATTAAAGTACATGATTACTGTCTAAGCAATTTCTGCTACAAAAAGTAAAATCATATATTTGCACTTAGTCATTAATGATTGAAATAACTTTTAGGGATTTTGTCACAAATTATGTAAATATTAAGCATATTGAATGTCAGCACTGAACTGTTTTCAAGGGAAATGATATGCTAGAAAGAAATTTAAGAGTTTTTACATTGGTCATTTTGCTGATTACATTGATTCATGTAAGGGGTGTGTTCGAGCAATCTTCTAATAAGATTGAAGATGAAATTGAGAAATGTAGAATAGAATAAATCTTCTTAAAGAGTTAGATTTAAATATCAATACCAAGGAATTAAAAACACGACTATAGAATGCTTGTTATTTTCTCTAAATAACAAGCATTTATTTTTCTAAATAAAAATGCATTTGTTAAAATGCATTTGTCACATCTTGTTTTAATTAAATTATTGTGGCGCTGGTATCCTATGTAATCCTTAATATTCTTAAATCTAAATGGTAATATCCCATTGGATATGAGATTAGGTCCATACATCTCATATTAAGGTCCTTAGAACCCACATGCATATCCTAAGATTGAAAACATTCATCAAATTGAAATGGTATTTTCTAAGTTATTTCCACCAAAATATATTGCTGGTCACTTCATTACAGTAAGAGACAAATATGATTAAGATGTTCTTGATCACAAAAGTACTTCACATATATTAGTAAAACCAAATATTCACAAAAAACTAAAACAATTATAGAAGGTAATACGCATATAGTATAAGACATTACCTCCCCCTGGGGAGGAGATAGCACTTGGATTTAAAGTGTCAAGAATGACTTTATTAAGTAGATAAAATTTGAATCCTTATGCTAAAATTTAACAAGTCAGGCATAGGAGAAGAGAGCAAAGAGAATGGAACTCAGGTTGAAGTATTGACAGAAGCAAAGTATGGGTGAGAACACCTGGGGGGAATCTATATTATGGAGGTAGAGGAAGGGAAGGAAAGAGAGTAAACTAGAGGCAGATTATGAAAGATTTTTTAATATAGCACTATTGAGATTGTTGGGCATTTAGTAGGAAATGGTGAGCTATTAACAGTCCATATTGGATCAAGGTATGTTTCTAGAATTTTCATCTATTGGCAATTAAGAGCTGGATGGGAATGACTCTTAGCCTAGCTCAAACTCTTCAGTAAGAAGACTGAGCCAGATTGGAGAGAGAATGGAGAGATGGCAATTGCCTTCTAGAGGTAGAATGAATACAGGAGATTATCTGAAGGGGTAGGGAGATTGAGAGGGACAAAGAAATTGAGCGAGTGAGATGTAGACAGTTTGCTACCAAGACTATCAATAGGAAAGAAACATTTCATTTTGAACATGAGCCTGTCGTTGTTTAAAAGCAGCTAGAAGTATAAAACTAGGGAAAAACATCAGGAGCTACAGATGTTGAAATGGGAGTTAGTTTCTTAGATATGAGCCCTACTAGGTCATGAAAGATCACAAAGTATGCAGAGTCAAAATATGGATACTAAACCTCAGAGAACATCCATTTTAATATACAAAGCAAGGCATTTGTCCACAATCCAGTATCACAATTGTTATACTACTGCATGGTTATTGGTTATCATGTCCAACTACAGACCCCCTAGTTCTCACTTGGGCTCACGTGGCTAACACAACCACTGTTAAGTATGTATTTCCTGGATAGGCAAATATGCCAGGTGTATTCATATTTTCTCAAAATTGTCACTTGTACAATTGTCATCATTGCAGTTGACATGTATACATTTTTTAGCTGGTCAAATAGACATGATTTATTTTCATTCTCAAAAATCTTAATTTCTCTATTAATTTTTTGGCAGGCAGTGTATTACTTGAATGTTATATAAATGATCTAGAGCCAGTCCTTAGGTTGCCTTTTCTTAAGCTTTCTGATATTGGTTAAATATGATGTTATTAACATGCATGGAACTTTTTCATTTTTTAGGAGTGGAAGTGTTAGTGGTTTGACACTGAAACTGATCCGAACATCTGTCTCTGAAATGTTGGAAACCCTCTCAGATGACGATTTTGTGAATGTGGCTTCAGTAAGTACGAGATGACTGCTTTCTTATTGAATAAATCTGCACCTTCTATTTCCCTTTGAGTTTAAATATTTTAGTGTTTCATCACAGGCTGAAATATTTCTGATCTATTATAAAACATGTCACTGAGCTATCCTGTCTTATTACTAGTTCTCCTATATTCTACACTTCCGTGCCAAGATCCTTTATGAATTTCTAAGGCGTTAATCCTGAGTGAAGTATTTGAAGAAATTAATATAAAGGAAAAACATTATACACAGTCTTCCTCAGTCAGAGGACTACAGAGGACATGACCCTCTGTACTCACTGAAACCACTGTAATTCCTAATAAGCAACAACTTGGCAGTTGCATGGTTAGATGGTAATTATCGACTAATTATAATGTTCATTTTCATATTGAACCCATCTTCGTATTGTATTGTTTTTAATTACTGCAAGAACCAGTAGGTATTTGAATGTGTTTTTTGTAAAACATCTTATTTCCCCAGAACCACCTTAGCCTTTCCTACTCGTAACTAGAGATGGCTGGAGCAGATGAACTCTCAGGTGAATGTAGGGCAAAATGAATGTCACCCTGTCTCACTTTGATGAATAGAATGCAGGCAAAAAAATTTATGTGGATATACTTGTGGAATCTAATTTCACCCTTGAAATAGTTACATTCATAGAGATGAAGATGAGTGAAGAAGAATTTGTGATGAGGTCATTTCATGTTGAATATGGGAAATGGATCTGTTCTGAAACCACTTTGGGGGAAGAAGTTAAAGCAGTTGATTGTCCCTTCAGTGGAAGAGTATTCCCAGGGGAGAAAGCTGCTAGTGGGGCTGGGTGTGATCGCTTGTCAGTCAGGGCTCCAGATAACTAGGTTAATAAAAAATACTAAGGAAAAAAGTTTATATTCATAAAATGCTTTTAGCAAGATATCCCTGGCTGTGGGTAATAACTGGAAATAGAACTGAGGAACAGTGAGACAAGACTTCCTAAATATTTCCCATAAATTATACCACTCATTGAATAATAAATTGGAGATACTTTGTCGTGTCAATACTCCCACTACACAACAAACATTACGAATCTGTTTTTGAAAATGCCTTTTATCTGGGACAGAGGGGTGTGACCTATCGGAATGCCAAAGTCTGGGTGGCTTACACTACACAAATTGTATTCTCATGTTTCTCAAGGCTGTCAGTTCTAGTAGTGAGGCTCTGGCAAGCTTGATTCCTCTGAGGCTTTTTCCCTTGACTTTCAGGTGACCCCTCTAGCTGCCTTTTCACAGGCTCTTCCCTCTGGACACCGTAACCCTGGTGTCTCTCCCTCTTGTTATGAGGACACCAGTTATACTGAATTCTGTCCCTACCCTAATGGCCTCATGAAACTTGATCATTTCTTTGAAGACCTAACATCTGAATACTATTATATTCGTAGGTATTAGGGGCTGGGACCTAAACACAGGAATTTCAGGGGGACACATTCAGTCCATAGCACTTGGGGACCTGCTCTCCTTGTCAACCTTCCTCTGCTTCATCTGTACCTTTAACAATCCTTCAACTTATTTGTATCCTTGATATTTTTAGTAAAACTTGATTTTGCATAAAATCTGTGACTTAGGTCAGTGTCACTTTACAATCTGACCTTGTGTATTATCTCACCATTTATTCAACAAAATGCAAGCAAGTAAAATGTAACATTTACTCTCTCAAATGAAATGGTCAGAAAGTCATTTATTTTCATTTTGTTCATAAAAATTTTGTTTATTACAAGGACCTTGACATGCTTTAAAACAAAATATTTTTGGCATAGCAAAAGAAACCATTATAAAATGATTTAATATCTCTGATGAAATTTATATAAAACCAATAGATATTAAGTATGGTTGATATGGTAACCTGGCTCTTGCAGATCTTCACCCATGGATGCAAGTGTAAGTAGTTTATTCTGGACATGGTCCCAGGAAACGCTACCAGGTGAAGAATAGAGAGGCAGGGGAAAGATAAAAGGAAACCAATTAAAGGATTGTAATTTAATATAAAGGTGCTTAAATCCCACTGAGGGATTCTCAAAACTATAGATTTTGAACTTCAAAGTTATTCTGTTTAACCATCAAAGGAGCTAGGTTCTTTTTTTTCCCCCAGACTTATTTATTTATTTATACAAGCACTGGGTACAGTCAGAAGCACTGGAGGGTGAGAGAATTCACCAGAGCCAGAGCGGGGGAATAGAACAGGCAGAAGGACCGAAGTACACTGCTGAGGGGAGCAGCGGGTGGCAGGAGAGGTCTGCGTGCCTTGTGGGACCCTCACCAGCAGCCGGGGATCCAACTGGCGCTGCAGAGGCTGTGGGCAGCTTCGCAGCCCAGCACTCAACCACTGCGCCACCAGGGGAGGCCCAGGAGCTAGGTTCTTAAATACCAGCTTCCCCATGTGTGAGCAGAACAAACTGGCCACAAGAGGGAGAAATGAATCAGAAAGTTGTAGGTTGTCAGAAGACAGGCCAGTGTCGACTGTACCTAGTCCCCAGTTCTTACAAAGGCAACTATTCACAATTTAAAAAAAAATAATCAAGCAAAGCAAACATGATGTTTCAGGAAAGATGAACTGCTGGAACCAGAACTGAGTCCGTAGTTTATATTCATCCGTTCTCTCTCAATATCCTAATTTCCCTGTCGCCGTGGCCATCTCTCGTGCTGGTAACTTGCTGAATGGAATGACCCTTCAAACAATGGTTCCTACAGTTGTTCATTCAGTTGTCAGCAAGTATGGAAGTGCCTGAATAAATCTTCTGACTTCTGTGCTTCATTCTCTCTCCTTACATTATGTAGCAGCAACTCATTACAACTGTCCTGGCGACGGAAGCCTTGTCAGTACTTTTTTTTTTCTTGGATGGTTGGAATCAACACATGAGAAGCCCCAAGTATTCAGATATTAGTTATAGAGAGATGTTTAGCAAAATTCTTAACTGTGATCCTGACAGGACACAAGGTCACCTTCATAACATGCACACACATATTTGGAAAGCAGAAGTTGTTACCATAGAGCCTGCGGTTGTAGGCACAGGAAGTGAATTTTCCAAGTGAGCCACTTTCAGTTATGGTGAGATGGGAAATTCCTACTCCTTCTTTTGGTTCTTCCTTTTCCTTGTCTACACTGCAAAGAAGGAAATCCTAATTTGTAGCAGCTTGATAATATTCACAATATAAATAGCACATAGTGACCAATCTAAGGTGTCAGGTATGAAGTTGACTGGCTTAAAAATTCCTGAAAAGTTAGCTTTTTTTTTTTTAGAACATTTATTTATTTATACAAGAACCAGGGTACAGGCCAGATGCGTGGGAGGGTGAGAGGATTCACCAGACACAGAGTGGGGAACAGAACAGGCAGATGAACTGAAATGCGCTGTTGAGGGGAGCAGAGGGCGCGACAGGAGAGGTCTGCTATGCCTTGTGGGATTCTCGCCGGCCTGCCGGCCGGGATTAAACCCATGCTGCAGAGACTGCAGACAGCTTCACAGTGCAGTGCTCAACTTCCTGTGCCACCAAGGAGGCCCTAGCTTTTTTTTTTTAAATGAACAGATTTGAGGGCCCCCCTGGTGGCCCAGCGGTTGAGTGCTGGGTTGCGAAGCTGCCCGCAGCCTCTGCAGCGCCGGTTCAATCCCCGGCTGCTCCCCGGCCACCGGAGGAGGGTCCCACATGGCGCACAGACCTCTCCTGCCACCCGCTGCTCCCCTCAGCAGTGTACTTTGGTCCTTCTGCCTGTTCTGCTCCCCACTCTGGCTCTGGTGAATTCTCTCACCCTCCCGCGCTTCTGACTGTACCCAGTGCTTGCATAAATAAATAAATAAATCTTTAAAAAAACAAATGAACAGATTTGAATTGGTGTACACTAATGAATATAGTGACACCCTTTAAAGAATATGTTGCCTCTTCAAGGACAACATTCCAACTAAAAGACTCATTTACAAGATGGCATCTTAATAGCACATTTAAGAAAAGATGATCCCACTCTTTTATTAGACTGACAGTTTGTAGTGATGAAATTATGTGGTAGACCCCTGTGTTTACCTGTGGTCTTGTGGTCTTGTGTTAATTACTGTGTCTCCTTTGCCATAAAATAGGTTGCTTGGTTGGAGATGTTATTCAGGATCTCATGAGGAAAATTCAGGCAGTACATGAACCCAGAAGATTTGTGATACTGGTAGAGAAACTGAACAAGAAAGGGAATGTGTAACTGTTAACTGTTTATCAATCAAAAATGAAAGAAAAACAAAATTTTCCTCCTCCAGAGGGTAAAATTGTGTACAATCTGCAGATTGTGTACAATCAAGTTGTGTTCCTTCTTTTTGAAAGATGATATATTGGTTTCAGCATTGGACAATTACCGTTGAAATGGTAGTTCACCAGCAGTGGTAGCTAGATCCCACTTGGTGAGAAAGCATTCTTGCATTTAAACCCATCCTTTTTCTCTCTCTGCTATCAGATGGCTCCATAAAGGGCCCATTTTATAAGCACTGTACTTGGCATAAACAGAGAGTGGGTGACCTTTAGTGTGCATATCACCCTGTCTACCCTATTGTTCAGAAGCTCCTCTGGATTGAGTGTTCTCTAGTATTTTTTGATGTGAGACAAAAACATCTGTATACTTTATGTTTATCCCCATAAATCCATACTTATACTTCTTTTATGGAACTCTTTCTCTGGGAAACGCATTCCAATCTTTTTCATTCAGGCACATTTGCCAGCCAGCCACTGTCCACTGCACAGGAGTCCATGTATGTTTTCTTATCTCACCTTAGTTGTTCCTCCATACCACACTGATGACAAGGTGAGGTTGCCTCAAGATCCCTCAGCATCCATTCCCTGGACTGTTCTTCCAGTATCTGTTAGTTTAGTTTATATTAAGTAGATCTTATACATCTTACATTTCTTGAATATTCTCTTTTTTGTTTTCCTGGGGCAAAGACCATGTTGAGACCTGATCTTTTTTTGTTGTCAAGAGCTTTGAGGGGAG